AATTGAACAAGTCTTATTATAACGGTCGAGGTAATGACAACGTAACGCGATAGGTCGATTTACGGTTGTTGCTCTTGTTTTATCTTCGTCATTAACACCCCGTAGTAATTGCAACTTTCTATGCAAGTCAACTTCTTTTTACTTTTTAAGCTAAATCTACATCAAGAAACTGGTTGAAAAGTAAGTTCATTGCTACAACAATAACGAAAAACATCCCTAGCAACAGTAATAACAACAGCGATATCAGTTAGTCAAAAGATCTGACCTTGAAAAGTTTTTCGAAGGACCACCTCTTCAACTTCTAGACTGCCAAGTTTTCCATCGTTCGCTGCCTGTGTCAGCAATGCACTTACATAACTTTCACCGACAGAATTGTTAAATATTAGTTCTAAGTCAGCAATGATACTTCCTGGCCTATGAGATAGACAAAGAACGAAACTTGTTTGACTGAAAATTATACAGAAAAGTTTGTATAGAAGCACCATAACCGATTTTTTTTTAGTGCTGCAGTTTACATCTGGAGCTCCCCAATAAATATTCTAACGATCCTGCTTCCCATTTTCCCTCATTCCTTCGGTCGCCAAACTGCAATATTTGCATTTGAATCATAAAACAATGGAAGCTACTACGATTTTCTGACTGGTTAGCTATAGAGTTTGTGAGGTCTATCCTCTAATTCAATGTTTAGTGTTTTAGTCTTTAAAGTGTGACTTCTTGTATATCTTTACAAACTCAGTTCTGTAACTGAGATGCGACCACAAGCTTAAAGTTATAGCACAGCCCTAAAGTAAGGCGTTTCAAGTACTCTGAGATTAATGTTAGCGATAAATTCCTCCAACATCAGACATGCTATATCTAAAAACTATTAGTCTGCGCCCTAGCAAAAAGTTTGCATCAAAACTCCAGAGACCAAACATTGAAAGTTCACCAACCAAGAAATATCTGACTTAACGTGCACAAAAGTTGGAAAACTTTTTACCTCAGTTTGAGCACGTTGACACTAGCGAGACCAGTGCCTAGGAATTCTTCCATCGTCTGAAATAAAACATTAGAGAGTGAATTAAGTACACAAGTCAAAMACTCAAAATCTAAAAAACTATCCCTTAATTTCTGCGCTTTTAACTGTTATACTACCGAAGCACTCACATTTGTGGTAATCTCCTGTACAAGCATTTTTGTCTCTGGATTTTCCTTGCAAACATACCCATCAGAGATTATGAAATGTATTTATCAGTTTATGTTATTCTTTCATCTTTTACATCTAATTCTTAGGTTGGTGTTATAAATGACTCTGCATTTAGTATTGCATTTAAAGAATGGAAGTTCTGCAACCATGAGATTAATTTGCTACAATTCAAGGACTTTATGGTATGCCCAGTCTGTGCTACCTACCAGCACTCAGCCCATGTGGACGGCAATGCCAAGTTGTATCGTTACAAGTCAGCTGGAGAGTGAGAAACCTGTCATTTAACGTGCATTTAACAAATGTAATTGTTTCTCTTAAATAGGGACAATTATTAATGGCCTTCTTTCCAGGTGGTTGGTAACAGTGAAGTAGCATCTCAAAGTTGCACCTCTTTTATCTTTTATGCATCACTTCTCACTTGGAGGGTTAATGATGAAAGTTTCTGTTATTTTTTGAAAGCCAGAAGCTATTTTGTTGTATTAAATTAATGTTCCAAATTGTAATTGATAATAGACCAGTATTTTCTTGATTTGTTTCTCCCCCCTTATACACAGTCATGTAATTTCCTACAGGTTATGATTATTTTTTATTATGCAATTAAAATTGAGGTAAAACATCTATTCCTTTCCTTTTTAAATAACTGTAATTTAATTTTACTCTCCTGCCACCCTGTTTTGTAATTTTTTTTTGTTTTTAGGAGAAAACGAGATTCCTATTATGGTGAAACATTCATTTTAAGCAATGACAAAGTTGATAATCATCTAGCCAAAGTTTACAAGAATACAAATCAGTCTGTAAGTTTTTTTTTTTACTCTTGGTTTTGTTGGTATCCTCTTTTATGTTTATAAATAAATTTACTCTTTCCCATTGCAGTTATGTCCCTGCCATTGATAAACAGAGATGTCAATGTTTTTTTTGTTAGGCAAATGTATGTTATGACATTAATCATGACGTTAGTTAATGTATGATAAAAGCTTTTGTATGACTCGTATTACTCTTTGTAAATTTTGCCTTAGTGTTAACTATATTGTCCTATTTATTATAAAAGGAAACTGGTAAGAACACTTGTGGTGAGTCCCACTGGCATGCAGCAAGGAACGCCCTCAAGAAAAAAAAGCATCTTGATAAGACTGGGCTGACCATTACTGGCTGCCGACATGGGACTGCTCAACGAGCAGTCAACATGTCTTATGGTGAAGTGTATGGTTATGCTCATTATATTCAAATTCAGGACATGATTCCTAGAAAAGTAACATACTTTTGGGAAGATGTTGTCTGCAAATACTGGGCATGGCTGATGAAAAAAGATCCCCAGAGTGCATCAAAAATGAAACCAGCA